GTGAAAGTTCTTTCAATTGCTCTCGTTAATCTACGGCCTAATATGTCACTGGATATATCGCCTTTGAATTGTAAATTTAAGTAAAGCTTTTTCTTACTGTGTCTCGCTTAGATTTGTATGTAGTTTCATAGACATACTTCTTTACAAAGTTGGTAGGATAGTCGTTTTGTAACAAGGCGTTTGTAAGATTTTTTATTTCATCTTCAATGCAGTCGTCGGTATATATGCGTCTAATTCTATGACTAAGACAACGAATTAGGTTGCGCTTATATAATAATAATAACAATAATAATAATATACTTTATCCCAAAAACAGTACTTGTGATACAGATTGGAATTTTCAGCATTAATCACAATATTGCATCTAATTTCCTCAAATTATAAATAAAATTAATCACACAAAAAATATTTCTTCATTTACAATACGGGTAATATAAAGAAAAACATGCAGCATATAAAATGGAAATAGTAATAATGGTAGCAGCTAAGGCAATAATAATAATACAAGTGGAATTTGCCGTGAGCATGTTTCACACAGTACTGTCGAGGCGGTATAGAAATCCTAGCATGATTAAAAATATTGAATATAATGTTCTCTTTACATGATATGGTGAGGGAAAAAACAGAGATTACAGAAGTCATAGAGACAACTTGGTGTTTGCAGTTATGAAAGTAAAAACAAAGAAGCAACAGGACCATAAATATAATAGAAATAATAAAAGTAAAACTTGAAGGTATATAAGGATGGATGGAGGAGACTGTTTATTTACTAGATGAATAAAGGTTAGTCAATTCTTGCTTGACGCTATTTTCATCACATAAAATGCGTGCCAAGTGTGGTATAATAGAATTTTTATACTTAGACGTGCGAGCATACAGTTTTCTGAAGTTACTTCTTGTTCTACCTGAGGAGATGCAAGGTGAAAGCTGAGGGTAAAATAGGATGCTGCAAGTCAGACAAAATCCCTTTAGCAAATTTACTGCATGAAGTCAAGTGCCTATTGACAACGACGTTAACTATGTGGTCCACTGGGACACCACCCATCCCACTGGCAGTCTTCAGCATTCTACGAATTGTGACATAGTCCTTTTGAAGCAAACCAGGAAAGAATAAGGGGGAACAATAAAGAAGAATAGGTAGGATGCAAGAGTGTTTATGAACTGTAAGAGGAGGGGTTGAGTTATACCCGAGTGCCTTAACTTCTTAATGTGAAATGTCAGGCGGAATATTTTACTGGAGATCGCTGAGACATGGGAAGACCAGGAGAGATCAGAAGAGAGAATAAGTCCAAGATACTTAATTTCTGATTTAATTCCTACATCATTGTCATCAATCTTACAACTGTCATGAGAATCGACGGCTTCTTTTATCTGTCGTTTACATCTTAAGCTGAAATTAACAGTTTGACATTTAGAAGTATTCAGTTTAAGACCGTTAGACTCAGACCATTTACTGAGTCCCGACAGAAAGCTATTTATTTTGATACAATCTTGCTGGGAGTTAACAGCCATTGAAACTGTTAAATCATCGGCGTACTTCACAAAGTTTATTTCATCAGACTGAGGCAAGTCATGTAGGAAGAAAGAAAAAATAAAAGGAGAAAGGACAGCGCCTTGAGGGACACCAGCTTCAGTAGTCAATGAAGTGGAAGACTTCCCTTTATACACGGTGTACTGCTTTCATTCTGAGAAATAGGAATGTAACCAATTAACAGCCCGACATTCTGTTTGACTTGCAGCAAGTTTATTTAATAAGATGTTCCTAGGGACCGAGTCAAAAGCAGATGTATAGTCCAAGAAGGCACAACGAACAAATTTAGCCCCCTTGTCTAGACTGGAAGCAATGTTACGATATAAGACGGCAGCTGCATCTAAAGTGCTTCTACTGTGCTTATAGGCAAATTGTTTTGGGTCATTAAAGGATTTAAGCCAGGGTACAAGACTAAGTAAAAGTGGTTTCTCCATAGTTTTCAAAAAAGGAGAGGTAATAGCAATGGGTCTAAATTTGACACATGCTCCAGTAGACGATTTAGGTATGGGTACAACTTTAATGTCTTTCCAAACGTCAGGCACAATATTACTGGAAAAAGATTTGTTAAGTAGATCAATGAGAGGGTAGCATAGAATATCAGAACATTTAAAAAAATAATACTAGGTACATGATCTGGACCTAAGCTCTGGGAAGGGTTCAGAGACTTGAGTCACTTTTGTACATCATTTGTGTTAAAACTTGGAAAGGGGCTATTATTAACACTAGTGATACTGGGAAGCATGGAATTTGAGGGAGAATAAATAAAAGATTTGTTAAGAGTACATACATCAGAAGAATACGGAATATTGTTTATCTGCTTACCACCAGTGATTTCCTTAAATAGTTTCCACATATTAGAAGCATTTTTGCAGGATATGAATTTCTGGTTATATGTAACATTATTGTATAGGTATGAAGCCATGGAAGTGGGTGTAATGTCCATTCCACGTAGCTTTCCTATAGATGTTTCTCTTTAAGGTACCGTCTGTTCTTTTTGTAAGAAGAACATCCAGAAATGGAATACTACCTTGGATTTCCTCTCTACAAGTGAATTTAATAGCTGTGTGTACCTTATTGAAGACTTGGAGCAGGTGTTGTCTATCCAGATTATTGTTACAAATGATAAAGGTATCGTCAACATATCGACAATAATAATCGAGTTTGTTTAGTATCTCTTTTAAAGGACCATTTTCCAATTTAGATAGAAATATGTCAGCTAATAAGGAACCAAGGGGAGAACCCATAGCAACCCCATCTATTTGGCGGTAATACTCCTTATTAAATACAAATTGAACGTTCATAGTGCATTTTAGTAGTAATTCTTTCAATTTTCTTGGTGTGATCCCAATTCCTTTTTTCTTTTCTACGAGTTGCTCGCATATGTAGTCGACAGTTTCTACAAGGGGGACGTTGGTAAATAGTGATGTTACGTCCAGCGATAACATAGTTTTGTCTGCTAAGTCAAAGACATCTTTTACACTATATTTAACCAACTGGCGATGTAGCGGTGCTAACAGATTAACTAACCACTCGGTAGTTAAATGGAAGGGCGAGTTCGACATGTCCAGGATTGGTCGTGGGGAAGTTCCCTGCTTATGTATCTTGGGTAAGCCATAAAGTCTGGGCGGATGAGTTCCGGTGGGCTTGATAGCGTCGAATATGGAACTATCAATTAGATTTTCATTTTGTAAAGACTTCAAAGTTTTGACGAACTGGCGTTCTGTTGCTTCATTCGAATCTTTGCTGTTACCTAACTTTTGAAACTTAGAACGATCATTCAGTAGGGTGTTCATCTTATCAATGTAGTCGCATTTGTTTAAAATTACTGTACCTGATCCCTTGTCCGGTTTCATGATAATAATGCTGTCATCAGAACTTAGTTTTTTGAGGCATTCCCTATGCTTTTTGGTTGATATACTTTTATTGTCGATCTTGGCATTATTGGATTGGTAACAACAGTCAACCAAGGTACTCTTAAATCTGTCTAACTCGTATTCGGAAGACGGTGTTAGGTCTAGTGTCTGAATGAAGAGGTTTTCAAACTGAAATTCTGTCTGTAGTTGGTCAATATTAACTCTATTATCGCAAAATTTACGGCCCAATGACAACACTTCCATAGCAGTCTTATCTAAAGTCACACTAGAAAAGTTGAGGAGACGTACCTTTCAGAGGGTCCTTGGGAAAATGGGATTCTGATATTTCCGTGTCTAATCCTTTTGTAAGTTGGATTCTTTTTTTAGTTTCTCTAGTTTTAGGAACATCATGGACGTATTTTAAGAATAATTCCTTTAAACGTGTGGGAAGTTCATCAACAGCATATTGTCTCTGTGGTATATATCTTTCTTATGTGCTAATATATCCTTGAAGAGATTCAATCTGATTAAGAGCGAATCGCTTGAGAGATTTCGTATTAGGGCGCACTTTACATCGATGGAGTGATTTAGGATAATGGTTATTCTCAATACAGTTTCGGATAAACTCCACATTAGTTTTCGCTTCAGCGAGCTTTGCAATATACTTCAGATACTCGTTGAGTGCCTTCAGTGCAACGGGATGCTCACAAGATTTCAGTAAATGAAATATCCTCATATTGAAATCAAAACAAGGTTTTGAGCGAACAATTGTTTTCGATAACTTCTTCTTCAGGCTCTACAGTTATAAATCCATGAAGTGGTCCACTTTGATGGGAGAGGTGAGTAGGATATGCTGGACACTAAAATTGTCTTGTCAGTGGTTCTAAAAAAATGTAAGGATAGGGAGTCCTCGAAACTCAACCGAATATATCTGATTTATGGTCGAAAAATAGTAGCCTATTCATGAGCCGAAGCTGTAACTTAATCTTTACTAAAGCATTTTTATCGAAAGACTATGAGAGGAGGCAGCACTACCTGAAAACCCCTAGAAGACGCTGTTTTGCAGGTCACAGTGGTTCGATATGTATATACCACTCAAACTAAGCAGTCGTCGGTAGATACAATTGATTCTCATGTTGTGCTTTAAAACGGATGGCAATATTCCAATCGATATTATGTTGTCTAAATTATATACAGAACTAGTGTGAGTTGTACCGCCTGTACCCAAGAGAACATGCGAACGTTAATCATTACTCTCGTACAAAGAGACGACGAAACGAACGTCATATTTTTCTGGAGTAGAGCATCGAAAACGAAAGTTACACCGAACAACTCGACTTAGTGTCCTAGAACCTATGACAGATGAATTATGAAATCAGTCTTGCTAGCCAAGCCCCCCATGCTTGTGTGCGCTTATACGAATCCCACAATAAACGTCGAAAAAAACTTCACTACAGATACCAAAAGAACACGACAGTCACTTAATTGATCATATATTTTTGAAACAGGCAATCAAAGAGTTCTTATGAGCGATAAAATGCATTGTTGAACAATAAAGCTCAACAAATTCTTTTTAAGAATTATTTGGAATATATATTGACAGGTACAATGTTAAGTTATTGCTGGGCGCATTCTGGTCGTTCGTCAGCATTTCGGTTACCTTGTTTTGATCTATGTGGAGCGCGGTTATGTCTTCCTCCTCGAGCGGGATGTGACTGGAAAAGTAACAGAGGAAAAGGATTTATTAATCGCCAATGATGAGCCAGTGTGTAGCATTAAAAGAAATTATGACGCAATATAGTTGAGTCAGAATACATTTCACACTTGAACCATTATCCCGCATGCTTACAAGCTAATAAGTACACACACAACGCGAAACATGAGACTTGAATTCAATGATATGAAGACTTACTGCTTACATTTCATTCTTGATGTTAGTAACTTGAACCAGACTTGTCGTTATTACACCCCACTTAATCAATAGGAACTGCCGAATGAGCAAATTATAAACATAACTACTGATTATAGGGATTCTCTTATGACTCCAGGTAGATCCAAAGCGTATATGTGACAGTCGCATATGTGTTAGTGATTTAATGATGTGTTAAGATTAATGGTTCTTAATACAAAAATAGCATGTTGAAAGAACACTAAAGGTAGACGGCATGGTGTCTCCTAGATCGACGGGAAAAATATCTTATTCTTGGTGCACATCTATGTTTGGGAAGAAAGTCATGACACCGCTTAAGTTGTTCATTGGGCTCTTCTCAGTGGTTACAGTTAATACTAAATATCGTCCAAACAATGAAGGATATAACGCTATTCGTCACGCCAATATCAGCAGAATAACTCGTGGACTTCCTCTATCCTTCTTCCGTTAAGCAACTACCAATGATAACATTCAAGTGGGGGATACACAGTACATAGTGATTTACACTTACATGGGAATTTTCTTTCTCATCCTACAAAAGAAGAAAAAATGCAGGTTAAAGTAGAAAAGGGTAAGACGCTATTAAAAAGTATAGTGAGACTAACTAAGCTATTACATGAGCAATGGTCGATTATCTTAAATTTTCAATAGCAACCCTTATGGACTCAGGAGTTTATACCGTAAGTGCAAAGAATTACAACTTAGGAAGGTCTTTTTGTGATAATCCGAAACTTAGAAAGTAACTATACTTTCAAGTAATACATATTGTAATGTTAACTTACTTCATCGTCATCATCCTCATCATCATCTTCGTCCGACAGATCTTCATCATCGAACTCGTCGTCATCGTCATCATACTACAACGTTATAGACGCGATGCAATGCAACTCACCTCTGAATCGACGGCTTCACCAGTGAAGTAAAGAACTGCTCTGGGGATGACACTCTCTCTTAGAAATTGACCAAGTTTGAAATCTGACTCAAGTAACAACTCTGTGTCCTCATCCTGAAAAGATTATAATGCAAATGAAAAACCCACCAAATCATCAGATAGATCTGAAAAGAATAGTTAGAATGCTTTTAAAATGACATACTTTCTGCGGGAGGTGAGAAGAAATTGAAGAACGAATCTTCCCGGACACTTTTCGTTACAGTTCTTTTAGCGCCTCCAGATTTTCGTTTTTGAACTTTCTTCACCAACTTCACAGTTACATTTTTTCCTGGATTCCAGTTTATCACACAACTACGCAATCAAATTAGACTGTACAATAACTCACCCTTTAGCACGAACAATTTCTGGTCCTTCATATCCGAAGGGATCATCACTTGGGATTTCATAATTGAAATAATATTGTTTGGTCAGGACAGTGTTTGTGAAGTATTTGTTTGGAGAAAAGTAGAATTCAAGTGTGAATCCCTATATTGATTAGTAAGTACTCGAAAACCTACTGCTTCCTCGCCTGTATTGAGAACGCATTTCACGTCCACTAGGTGTTTAAGTATGTCACGATCGTGTTCCTGAACCATTTCATCAAACAGAGAAATGTTCTGCAGTGTTTTTAACCAGAAGTCTGGGATCCCCTTGCTATCTGCTTCAAGAGCTACAGGACATTACACAAAGTATACTTACTCACCTTTATCCTCTGTCTCCTTTGATACTGTGACTTTTTCTTTAACGTTCTCAGAGAGATTGTCCACATCTTCGTCATCCGATGGCCAGTCACACTCTTCATCATTCGGTTCAACTTCCCCGGTTACAATATCCCGTCTCTGCATGGTAATTCATGAACCAAGACAACTAACCTTGGAGAATAGTTGCTGGTGCTGAATATCATACTTAGCTTCCAACTCAAAAAGTTCTTTAAAAAACTGCGAGTCGATTTTTAGTGTCTCATACTGCAACTTCTTCAGAGCACGAACACGTCGTTTAACCGGGGCAGGTAAACTAAAATATGAGCAAATAGTCGAACTCACAGATGGTAATCGTGAAGAGCACTTATTTTAGCGTCTTCAGATCTCGTTTCATTTAGCTCTGCAGAGTCTGAAATGTCACCACCTGGTGGATATAACTCGTATGGTTTCATGCTCGATACTTACCTTCCTTTGGAACTCTACAGTGAAAAATTTAATAAAACAAAATGCAACGAACCCTTTGGTGCCGTCCATGTCACGTTACTGGCGTGGTCAAAAGAAATGTGAAGTACCCGCGTTCGAGATGTATTTAATCCAAATCGTCCAAGGTCGTTCCAGTGGTTACCAATTTCCGATCGTTTTCTGAAAATAAGATCAGCATTTGGAGCGACTTGCTAGTCTTTCCGAGGGTAAGTACGGATGAAGGCTTGTTGCGGTTTCAAATGATTGACGATGTAGCCACTAAAACGCCTATAATTATGGTAGAGAATGCAGTGGTTCTCAAACTACTGTCTAAGCTGAAGACATTGTAGCGGTAAATAATTCCCCAAAATTATTAACCACAGCAATCATCACTCAACATTGGATGCTGACCATCACTGTTTAAGTCGACTTGTTTAGCTGAAGGCTTACGGTCAAGCATCCCCGCCATTTGGTGCTTCGTCGTGTCACGTGCGTGCACGATTACTAGCTAGCTAAGCATTCATTCCTACCCGCGATTTGGTCCCAAAATATATATCGTATTTGGACGACAAAATCTGGTCTTTTGCTTTACCATTTGGTACTCGAAGAACGAACACTATAGTGGTTGTTGGTATAAGATCTTGCGTTAGTATAATCCGTACAACTCGCGAACGTTCGATACCTTCGTCCACCTAAACTGGTGAGCCCAACCACGAACTACCGTCAATCACTAAACTGGTGAGCCCAACCACGAACTACATCTTCAATTCACACGCAGATAAACCCGGTGAGTTCGTTCCTTTTTGTGTTTATTCTTGTACTATATTGTTATCGGCACACTTTTCGTCATGAGTGATCCTAGCCCCAAAGTTATTCAGATTCGCTCAACCGCCAAAACAATTCAGCTAGTATCATTTTGGCCCGATAATGCTGAAACGTGGTTTCAGATTGCTGAGTCTGATTTTTGTGAACATGGCATAACTGATCAACGTTCACAGTTCCTTGCAGTTATTCACGCCCTACCGCGGGAATTCAGCAGGTGCGTAACTCTGCAGATGTCGGTAAGTAACTCGTACGAGTTGCTCAAAACATCTATCCTCAAGAGAAACGTTCTCACAGATCGACAACGTCTGGATGAGTTATTTCGTAACATCGAGTTAGGAGATCAGTCAGCCGTGAGCATGCTGGCAAGAATGAAAGAGATCATTGGCCAAAGTCAGTTCGATGAAGGACTGTTTAGAGAACTATTTTTATCCAAACTGCCACAGTCAGTTCAGACTGTACTTGTGACACTTCAGGGTGTTCTCATGGATGACTTAGCTGTCTCTGCAGATAGAATTCTAGAGATAACGAAACAGCCAGTCACCGAAGTATACTCTGTTACCGAACAGGCTTCGAAGAAGGATTCTGCAATGATAGAGTTAATCAACTCCGTCCAGCAGATGCTTAGGTCAAACAAGCCTAGCAATTCCTCAAACCGTCGTTCTAGATCCCCTCAACGGCAAAACGCACGTGGACGATCTAAGTCCAACACACGTTCTGTCAAAAATCCTGACTGGTGTTGGTATCACAACACCTATGGCAAGGAAGCGAAATGTTGTCGAAAACCTTGTGATTTCGGCAAAGCCTCCAAGTCTGTGGGAAACTATCCCGCCGGCACGCGTTAGCGGCAACCGTCGCCGGTGGCACTAGCCGCTTACTTTACATCCATGATGTAATTAGCCAGACTAGATATCTAGTCGACACAGGCGCCGAAGTCAGCGTCCTTCCTGCTACAGCAGCAGATCGACAGAAGGATCCTAACTTCAACCTACAGGCTGCAAATGGAAAACCAATTGCAACCTATGGTCGGAAATACGTCTATCTGAACGTAGGTTTACGCAAACCTATTCAGTGGATTTTCCTAATCGCTGACGTCACAATGCCCATCATCGGCACGGACCTACTTAATCATCATGATTTGCTCGTAGACGTCCGCCGTAAACGACTAATTGACAACACTACTAGTTTGTCTATCAAAGGCATAACTTACAGTGGCCCCAGCTTGTCAATCGTTAAGATGAAAGCAATCCTCGATCCAACTTTTCAACCAATTGTTGACAAATATCCGGAACTGAATTGCCCATCTAACGATCTCCCGTGTATAACCAGCAATGTTATGCACCACATCATAACCTCAGGACAGCCCGTGACATCTAAAGCACGACGACTGGCACCTGACAAACTGAGAATTGCCAGAAACGAATTCGATCATATGCTCACCCTTGGCATCATTCGGCCATCGAATAGTCCATGGGCATCCCCATTGCATATGGTACCGAAAAAGGATAGCAACGATTGGCGACCCACTGGTGATTACAGGCGAGTGAACGCCAAAACAACTCCTGATTGCTACCCTTTGCCTCACATACACGACTTGACGGCAACGTTATCTGGAGCATCTGTATTCTCCAAAATCGACTTGGTTAAAGCATATAACCAAATCCCGATGGCAACGGAAGATATCCCGAAAACGGCTATCATCACGCCTTTTGGACTTTTTGAATTCCTACGTATGCCATTCGGCCTCCGGAATGCGGCCCAAACATTCCAACGCTTCATAAACGAAGTATTTCGCGGTCTCGACTTTGTATACGCATACTTAGACGACTGCCTCATTGCCAGTCCAGATAAGGAAACTCACCTTAGACACTTGGACTTGGCATTTGAAAGGTTACGCCAACATGGTGTTACCATCAATATACAGAAGTGTCAAATAGGCGTTGACTCACTCGATTTTCTGGGTCACACTATTGACTGTCAGGGCATTCGCCCACTGGCTACTTCGGTCGATCACTCTAAAAAAACGCGTTCTGGACGTCACGTTAGATTCCCAGAATACCTTCACACCTATCTCACATAACTGAGTGACACATCAATTTTTTTTTATGTTGCGTCATTTAACACAAGTAAATGATATTTTTCCTATAACCGTACATAAAATTATATAAGATGTATATTTTTTTTTTCCCGAAATTTTGAACTTTACATTATTTTACTGTATAGTAGATGCATGTCGTATTTTTTTGGTAAAAATAAAACGCTTATTTGGTACATTTTTCTTGACAAGGTTCTCAGCATTCTTGTTTTCTTTTCCAGGTGCAACGGGCACTGGACAGGAAACAAACGAAGCACGGGATCCAACGAACAACACTGAGGAAGCTATGTACAGACACCCTATTAGCATAGGAAGACAGACCAGCAGGCACCCCATCAAGCCGCTCGGAAGATTTTTTTCACCCGTCAGGGAACCATCGAGATTTTTTTACTTCCGGCTGGTCATGTCTTAGGGTCCTCACAAACCCACTAGGGGGGGAGTGAGCTGTAGCGGTAAATAATTCCCCAAAATTATTAACCACAGCAATCATCACTCAACATTGGATGCTGACCATCACTGTTTAAGTCGACTTGTTTAGCTGAAGGCTTACGGTCAAGCATCCCCGCCATTTGGTGCTTCGTCGTGTCACGTGCGTGCACGATTACTAGCTAGCTAAGCATTCATTCCTACCCGCGATTTGGTCCCAAAATATATATCGTATTTGGACGACAAAATCTGGTCTTTTGCTTTACCATTTGGTACTCGAAGAACGAACACTATAGTGGTTGTTGGTATAAGATCTTGCGTTAGTATAATCCGTACAACTCGCGAACGTCGATACCGTCAACCCCTAAAACATAAGTCACCTGAACCTGACGGACTTCAACCTAGACTGCTAATCTCCTTGGCGGATACATTCCACTTACTGAGGTTTTTCAAATGTCTCTGACCCAGGGACTGGAAAGATACTGTTAATAAGCCCCATCTTCAAACAGGGGAAAAGACAGTCAGTATCTAACTACCGGACTGTAAGTCTGAATTGCATTATAGCAAAGGTGTGAAAAAAACTCATTATGGGGCAGCTCTTAGCTCATATGGAAAAACATGACTTACCCGCAGTGGAAAAGCATGGATTCCGACCACGACGATCCTGCTTAACAAACTCGTTGTTAGCTAGGGAAGATTAGGTCGAGGTCAGGGATAAGAACCATCTACTGGACGTTGTTTCTATTGATCTTAATAAAGCATCCGATAAGGTATCCCATAAAGTTCTTTTTAGCAAACTCAAACGTTTTGGAATAGACTAACGCTTATGTGAGTGGTTTAGCGACTACCTGATGGATAGGAGGCAGAAGGTAAGGGTTAAGGGTGTACTGTCAGGGTGGAAAGCAGTACTAAGTGAAGTACCTCAGGGAACTGTACTCGAGCAACACATATCTCTTCTAAGATTCGAAGCTAGTTCAACCAGAGCGGAAATTAGATTTGTTAACATTGAACTATTCGTACTAGCGATTGACTGTTAGAAATTAGCCTGCATCAGTACGAAGCACTAGATATACAACATTAGTTACTACCTAGTGTCGAACCAAAGTATCTATCACAGTCCCCCGGGAAGTCAGTTGTGGTCGCGGATTGCTCAGTGGCAATGTCTCCGAGTATAGCGTTAGGTGACCGTGTTTCGATTCTCAAAAGGGACTTGAGTTCCTGCCAGATTGTGGGTACGCTCTGCCAACAAGTTCCAACAAGGTCGGAACCTATTTTCAAGGCTTCCCGTCGATCGCCTCTGGAAATCTAAAATACGCAAAATCTTATCAGTAACGCTAACTCCATCACTGTTTGCTGTCCCTCTGAGAGGCAGGAACCTTTCAGTTCAAAGGCTTCAGTGCCCCGTTACGCACTGCAGTGGTTTCCCACATAAAACTTTCTGTTTCGCTGAAACAGTCATTGCACAACCAGTGTTGGAGGGGTCTCCAGCAACGCATCCATGCCACAAGGGTTAGGTCAGTGCATATATCTTGGGACCATCGGTCACACTCATCACAATGCGTACTATCCTCTACTGGATATTTGCACATAAGCCTCTCCCAACGCTTCCGTTTTCTCGGGTGCATTTTTTCTATAAGAATTAACTCAATAAGGACCTAGGAAACGACAACTGGATGGTCAAAAATAAAAATACCGGAGCTTTATCAAGTTGTGAAAAACTGAAGGATCAAATCGTCACAAAGGCTCTTTATGAAAGCAATCGACTGTCAAGCTTATGAAAAGCTAACTACAACCAGAGTATTTCTAAGTTAATTTCATCTGCAGCCTTTTGTGGTGTATAACAACAACAGCTTATCAACAGCATTATCAGTGCCTCACAGTAAGTAAGCCGTATCTTGAGTGCAATTTGCACATGGTTTAATTTTTCAGTCGTTGCATCGTTTTTCACTTTAGTATATGAGGTTGTTTTTATTTTCACTTGAAGTTTTGTTCTGTTTCAGACTGCTGATGTATTTTATCCAGCCATGGCTGGAAACTCCCCTCCTGCGCAGATGGCAGTTACACTGCAATTCCCTTCCTTCGAGATGAATTGATCATCCTTTTGGTTCTCATTGTTTAGCCCAGTTAGCTTTGTGTCGTATACACCCTGGAAGACTGAGGCCAACTTGGAAATTATCAGTCTTCTTCCATCACGGAAAACGTTTCAGAAATCGTTGGCGACCTGTTCCCAGTCCTTCACGACTGTGTGAAAGCAGCTTTAATCAAGAGAGTAGCACTTGTCTACCAAGTTTAAGGAACAGGTTGGTTAGGCTACCTGAACAGATTCGAGGTCAATTTTATTTGGCCTAAACTAGAAATAACGCCCAAAATTGTTTTTGGTTACCAATCCTGCTAGATCCGAGCTGTATCCACACTACTTGCTGACTGTAGTCTGGCCAACCCAAAGGACAGTAAAGCACTTATGGCTGCTGAAGGGTTTATTTATTGACGGCGATTTGAAAGGACCGTACAATAATATAATATATATTTCGTATAAACGGGTAAGTTTACATGAAACGCATGCCATTTTACAGGCACGATCAATTATGTTACGAATTACAATTATGAATTAACATACACTATCACTTTTTAAAAAATTTCAAATTGTTGAATTATGGTACAAGCAATCGGAACAGATTCTTATAATTGTTAATTTGTGAATCTTTCACGAAGGTCTCCATCGAAGTTGAGCGACAACCCATACTTCGTTCCACTTCCTGATGATAGTAATGGCCTATCGATAAACAACATATATTTGAGTGAGTACTGTACGTGCTTGAACGCTATTTCAGGAATAGGAGAAAATCCTGCACAGCTATAAAGTGGTATAAAATGCAATCATGAATAATACATTATTGGAAGTATATTTACAAGAAAAATACAAGAATAAGCTATACAGTACTTGATATGATAGTGCACATTTGCAATGTATGACGCTAACCATATTGGTCTTACCATGGAAAACTATGACGTTTTCTATGAAAATAAAGTTATTCTCAAATATGAGTGTTGTTCAATTTGTTTTTTATCATCAGAGCAACCGAACTTCACGCGAGAAAAGGGTGTAAATGAGAAAAAAGAAAAAAGTGAATTTCAGCTTTATTAAAGTCCTAGGAAGTTGAGATAAAATAGAGTATAATAGTAATTAGGTAGAAGGATTATCGTGAAGTATATAAGTGACATTTCAGAGAGAAGTGGCTAGAAGGATTAGAACCTGTTCGATATGGTGACCTGTAGGATGTCTGGCGAGCTTGTGTATGGCCCATGGGATAGCATCTTGACAAGAAACCGAGCAGGCTTGTAGATGTTAGGAGCGAAAGCATAATATTTTTTACAAGCTAAAACTGTACAGTCATTATTGTTTTAATTTTTTAAATCTAATATTTTTTTATACATTCAGTATCTAAACTCATGTTTAATTCTCAAGCTACCGAAATAATGCATGTTGCTGTCCTACAGATCGGAGCGATTCACATTTGTGACCACTACCAAACCTGCTGATCAGTATGCGCCACCCTCCCTCCTTTTTTGACATTAAGATCTGAGACCTTTTACAATGACTGCAGTTGTAATATTGGATTGCTTTGACT